ATGGAGAAAACTTTCTTGTAATTTCTTTTAATAGTTTTCAAGAATAGCTATTCTTGAAGGACATCCAAAGGTCTTCTTTGGGTGCTCCTACCTTTTATTCTGTCCTCTGTCAGGATGTATCCCACACTGCTTCAATAATGTTGAGATCCAAGCTCTGGGGAGGCTAATTTGTGACTGATCTTGTTCTGTTATGTGTTTTTCTATCTAGACTTGCTTTTACTGCATTTTCAGTGTGTTTGAGATCACCGCCATAGTAAAAAAATGTTACGAACCAGACACTTCCCATATGATATAACATTGTGCTACTTTTCTGTGTTCATATTTCAATCAGTTTGGACAAAATCTCGAACACCAAAGGTTAAAATGCAGCCTGAAAAATGAAAGAGACCCCAGCATGAGCTACAGATGGCTGTAGACAATCTTTTGTACTTCTGAACTCCTACATACATATGTAAGAGTTCAGGAGAGAAGTATGAATTGTTTCTTGGCAACCATCAACTGAAGAGCCACACAACACTAGTTCATCATTTGAGTTATGCAGTTAGGTGCCTTTTTATACTTGAATTAAAAATATATATTCTGGAAATGGTCAGCTACAAGGAGTGGATTGAAAAGGATGTGGAAAAATATTGTCCATTGTCCAAAGAAAAACTTTGAAAGACCTTTAAAAAAGTCTAGAGAAACATTGTTCAAGAGCACTTGAAAATATTACATGAAAGTCTGACTCATCGGAAGTAAAATATGAAAAAAAAATGACAGGTGATTCAAGACTTTTGCAGTGTTGTAACTGTTTTGTTGTTGCTGTTGTTTGTATTTTTGTGTGTGTGCATAAAGAGCTCTGCTATCACTTGTACTGCCTGCACTGACGTCCTCTGTGTGTTTCATTGTGCAGAGAGTGATCCAGCTTCAGTCTCTCCAGCAGTAGGAACAGAATACGTCACTTATGGGCAAATCATCATCAAAGACAAGAAAAAAAAGTCAGGTACAGCTGATCTTCATTTTCTCCATCATAGCCAGTTCAATCTCTAAATTGTAAAATCAGAATGCTACAAGCTTGGTGTAATGTTCATAATATCCACCATCCTTGTCTGCTCACATATTGATTAACACCTATGAAAACATTTGGAAAGTTTTGCTTGTCTTCGTATTGGCTGCTGTAGAAAGTCAGAATCTGTCACCAGGATCCTGGAAGTTATATTTCACTAGTCAAATTTCCTGTCAGCACAAGGAACTGAAATTACATGTGTACACACACACACACACACACACACACACACACACACACACACAGAGTTAATTTTGCCATGTATATAAACTACAGGTCAAAAGAACAATCCAGTTTTTCCAGATTTATTGAAAATTCTCCACGTTAATGTCTCATTGCACTCTGAAATGAAATGAAAGCATTGTACAAAAACACAACTGGAATTAAACAAGAAATTATAGAATTTATATTCTAAACTTCTGACTCATCAAAGTAGCCGCCTTTCGCAGATATAACAGCTGAGCACACGCATGTCATTCTCTCTACAATAGAAATCAAATATTCTTGAGAAAGTTCTCCCCATATATGCTGCAGAAGTTCCCATAAATGTGGCACTTTTAGGTTGTGTTGCTTTCACTCTTCTGTCCAGTTCATCCCAAACCAGCTTGAATGGGTTTCAGTCTGGAGACTGTGCCACTCCATGTTTTCAAGCTTACCATCTTCTTCTTTTTTCCTGAGGTAGTTCAGGCATAGCTTGCACTAATGTGTTGGGTCATTATCTTGTTGCAGGATGAACCACTGACCAACTAGACCCATACCAGAGTGTATGATGGTCTGTCTCACTTCTGTTGTTATTTGCTTTTTCTTGCCCTTTTTGTAGCAACACACTACTTTCTGCAGCACAATACTGTTCAGCTGATGCATGTATGGTACCATAATCTGTTCCAGCACTTCTTTTATGTTGGAGCACAAACATAAAAACACAATTACTTACTCCTGGTTCCCAATAACCTTGTTGTTGACACCGTTAGGTTCCCCCAGCTCACAGAGGCTCCCTGAGATCAACAAAGGATGCTGTTTAGGTGTTTAGGCTGTCTTCCTCCCTGCTCATCTCTGTGTGCTCGGTGCATCTAGAATCCTACCCAGTGTCCCATGTACCGCATGACTCCTGGAAAGGCTAAATAGAGGGGTCATCCTGAGAAATCCAATGTAGGAATTAGTAGCACCAGCTTTCAAGGCTTGATCAACCTCCATTGCTGCAGAACAGCTTTTAATTGTTAATCCGTTTTGTGTTCCCTGAAACAAAGTCCTTTTACGTAATACTGAAATTATTTTTCAGTTTTTATGGGTAACCTTACCTTACCCAAACCTTACGTCAAAATCTTACATCTTTTTTTCTTTTTTTCTAAAACAGCTGAATTATGGTTTTCCAAAACAAACATAAAACAATGAAAATTAGAAAATTAGACACCAGGACAGTGTGTGAGTCAAAACTGACGACAGTGTATGTGATGAATGAGCATTGCACATGTAACTCATCATTCTTAGTGTCATGTTAGGTCTCAGTTGACTATCTTTACTCAGGTAGAGTGTGACTCCTTCAACTCAGGCACTTGTGTTTTTTGGATTCTGGAGCCACATTACGTTACGTTACTGTAACTATGAGACATTCAAACTCTCCATTAAAGCAAAGAATTATTTTCTAACCTAGTCCTACATTTAAAACCACAGCAGCTTCTTCCTGTTATTGACTTTAGCTGGTGTGAAGCTCATAAAATTCTCATTGCTGTGTGTTCTGGTTTGGCTAATAATAGTGATAGGTGAGAAGCTGTTGCTTCTCTGCCTTGTGGTGACTTGCATCAGTCTGTGCTAAAAAAAGAAAGTAATATCATTGTGGTATTTGACCTTCCTTTTTCACAAAACACCCACCCAGTTCAATGTGGTCATTCTGTGTTTCCTTGCAGAGGTATTCAGATGAGATAACTGTGAAAAATTGTTGCAGTTATTAAATTTAACTGACACTTCTAAAATAAATAATCCCTCAGCTCTGTGTTGTATCTAAAATTATGGACAGAGGCTTGTTTTGTTTTTTTTGTTGTTGTTTTTTTTTGTGATCATGTTTAGAAGAGCAGAACATGTTCATATCAGGCAGGGTCGATCAACCATAGCACACTACAAAATAATTACATTATAGTATATTATAATATATTATAAAATGTTTTAGCATTATTTGATACACATAGATACTCAATAACCCAGCGCAGGACCATCTGTGATGAACTGGCAGAGTCTGAACAGTGCCAGTGGCATTTATGTACAACCTCAGTGTGTCAGTACACTTTGAGTAATACACAAATAACAAATTGTGGTAATCACAAGTGGTAAAGCATACAAGTATGCTGCAATAATATAACAGTACTATTGCAGCTGCTCTACTTACAGAAATGTATATGTACTTTACTCTGCAGAGAGCGATTCAGCTGCAGTGTACTCAGGAGTGAGAACAGAAGACATCAATTACGGACAAATAGCCTTCAGACCAAAGAGGAAAAAAGGTAAAGCTGCTCTGCACCTTTGAACTGGTACTTATACAACGCTATTCATCTATACAATTTAAGGCAATAAATTAAGGTGATAAAAGATCTAAAGTCGCTTCAAAGTGAATTCAGTCTGAATTTGAACTCTAAAGACAGCAATGCTAACATCATGGTCTAAAAAAACTAATGTAAGACTATCATGGACATAACATAAAAATACAAACAAAAAAATACTATTATGACCAAATGGCCTGATCAACAGTCCAGTGCACTTTTAAAAAGAAGGACTGCACCGACCAGCCCAACAGCACCAAAAGACCTGAAAGACCACAGAAGACAATTAAGGTGCTCGTGTCAAATTTGGAGTTGCTGATTGTCAACACAGCTACTTCACACTGAGCTGCAAATCCCTCTAATGCACACCGGAGGTTACCAACAGATGAGGCCAGAAGAACCACATCATAATAGAAAGGTCATACCAAGGCCACCAAAGCAGAAACACTCCACCTCTTAGCTCCACCCAGAAATTGTATCCATAAATGTTAGGAACAGAATCAGTGGTGAAGTGGCCCAATTCACGAGGAATTAAAGATGTCGTGAATTGGGCCATCTGTCAGACACAACCAATACTTACCAGAGATTTGGGTGTGCCTGGTTTGTCCAGCATCCTCCCCACCACCTGATCCAACTTAGCATCAGGTAGTGATCACTTGACAGCTCTGGTCCTCTTTTACCTAAGTGGAGAGACTGTGGTCCAACAACAAAACACCACTTGGGTTCAATCCTACCCTGGAAGCAGCCAAGGAGAGAGGTGCTCATGGGGGAACTGGGGCTTAACCCATAGGGCCCAGTAACACATAGTCTGAAAGAAATACATGGGCCTGCCCTCTGCTGGGTCTATCACTCACATCAGGGGCAGAGGTCCTACCAGTCCAATCCCTGATTAATCTGGCTTTAAGAGCAGGGAAATACTGTGGAAATGTGTTTATGTTCCCAGTACCATCACTCTTCTTTGTATTTATGCCTGTTGGCTCATGTTTCCTCAGCAGTGATTTTGTTTCTTTCCACAACAAACATACATTTGGTTTTATGTGTGTTTCACACGTGGTTACGTGATCACGTGGTGGAATTCACCAAAATATCAGATGCAAAGTTTGACTTGTTCTGGTTTGGTTGCGGCTAATGTGTCTGCTTTCAGTCACAGTAATTTGAACATTTGATCTCATTAACAGAGAATTGTTTGGTTTTTTTTTTGACATTTTACAATTATGTTTAATCAGATTTTGTAGTCATAAAGAAAAATGGAGGATTACTCATTAAAAGTTACTTATAAAAACTCCTCACTGTATAATTTCCCCCTTCATTGCAAATCACCACCCATCACCCATATTGTACACTTAAATTCTGAAATTATCTTTGATAAAGTTAATGCTTTTGACATCTTGACAAGGTTGACCACATACATTCATCTTGCTGATTATGATCATTAAATGTTATTTGATTGGGAAGATTGAGTTTAACATTTTTCTGATACAGACCATGAGACTGATGAGCTGCACTGAGTTTAAAGCTGTTTGCTTATTTGCAAAACACTACACAGTTCTACCATACTCATTTAAATGAAACCAATACTGATAAAAGGCTAATAACCAAACATTTTTAAAATCATGAGTTTATTTAATATACAGGAAAAAAGCCATCCAAGCCTAACTGGCCCTGTGAAAAAATGCTGAATATATATTTTTAATTTCAGCCACACTGGAGGGTTCACCAGTATGTATGGTCTCTAACATTATGCCAAAGCATCCTAAATATAATTAAATAAATTTTGACTAGGGCACCCCAAAAATATCTTTCTTTATTTTGTCTATTGAGAGATGGAATTGCTGCTGCAAGTTTGGATCATTGTCATGCTCCACAATCCAAGTGTGCTCGAGCTTCAGGACATCAAATGATGGTTTTCTCCTGCAAAATGTTCTGATAGAGGAAAATTCATTGTTCCACCAATTAAGCAGCAAAGCAGTCCCAGACCGTCACACTAGCATCACCAAGTCTGACTGCTGGTATGATGTTCTGCATTCACGGTGTGTTTAGTTGACATTGGACCAATATCAAAGATGATTTAATCTGTGAAATTAAATCTGGCAGCACTGGTTTCAGTCAGTTCCTCCTGTATTAGGTCAGTTTAAACACCCAGGAAGTGGGATTGTGCTTGAAGCTAACTACTAGCGTTAGAAGGTTAGCAGTAGGTTTAACGTTCATCATGTTCACCATCTTCTCAGTATGCTAACATTTGGAGATTTGGATGATGTTGAGGAAATGATGACGCGTTTCAAAGGTTTTTTTCACTATAATCCTGGAGCTGTCACTATGAGATGCATGAAGACATGAACGGAAAAGTCTAGAGATCCTTAACTGAGTGCGCCGAGCCTCTGAAACTGTCCTTTAATAGAATGAATCAACCTTTTTTGTGAACATTTTTAAAGTTCTGCATGTAAAACCACAGTAGCTACTTCCTGTTTACCCCAGTTAGTCTGAAGCTGGTGAGAATTGTCTCTGCTGTGCGCTCTGGTTTAGCCAATAGCAGTGTTCATGCAGTGAGAACCTGCTTGCTTTGTGCTTTGTGGTGAAGTGCATCAGTCTGCATTGAAAGAAGATGGCAGCTTTGTGGTCGCCCACCTTCCTTTTCACAAAAATACCCCCCAGCTCTTTCTGGTCATTTGTTGTTTTACAGTAGAGATGCTTTGAGAAGAGAACTCTAAACATCTGCTGCGGTTTATGCAACCTGTCACTTCATCTAACCGAATGCTTAGATTAAGCTAATGCAATGATAAGAATAGATAAGTATAATTCACTTTAATTGGCTGGTCAAAAAGAAAATCCTTGACTCTGAGTAGCGCATAAAATGGCGGCGAAGACTTGTTTTTTCATTTTCTTTTTTTAGTGCTGCTGTTTGTGATCTGCTCAGCCTGTTAATCTTAGGGTGGAGTGAGAAAGAAGAAGCTGGCTGTGTCTGAGCTGGTTCCCTTTGAAGTCTGAACTGGGACTGTGTGTGATGCAGAGAGGTGGAGACTGGAGGGCTTGATTGACCTACAAATCTTGTAATCATGTTTCCTGTTGTGTTTTTTGTTTGTTTGTTTGTTTTTAATAACTGTGTGTGTTTGTGTTCAGACTGTAAACCAGAGCCAGATGTCGTCTACTCTTCACTGAAGTAGTCCACCAATCCAACCACTGATGTCCAGCTGCTGGTCTCTAACTGGTCCCCCCAGCACCTCCACAGACACATCCATATGTTGAAAAGATTTCTTTTTGATGTTTTGTGTCTTTTATTTGACTTATTACATCCTCCTCCACTTACAAATTCAGGGTTGCAGTGGGACTGGAGCCTATCCCAGCTGCCGTAGGACAAGGCTCAGGGTACACCTTCAGCAGGTCCCCGTTCTTGCAGGGCTAACACAGAGAGAGAATTTAGAGTCATCAACTAACCTAACCCCACTAACTGCATGTTGTTGGGCTGTGGGAGGAAGCCAAAGTACCTGCAGAGACCCACACAAATGCAAGGAGAACATGCAAACTTCAACATCAGCAATATTAATAAAAATATTTTAATATATCTTATGTTGTCAGTAACTTTACTGTTATTTCCATTCTTGTATGTTGGGTCCAGCTCGTGTTCTCATGGCAGCGATCTGATTTCTTATTAAACTTTTGTTCTCTTGTGTGTTTCTCACGTGGTTCTGTGGGTTTCACTGAGTTGTTAAGTGACAAATGTGAACAGTTCCGGTTTGGTTGTGGCTAACCGAAACACTCAGTGCTGCAGTCAGTACGGTCAGTTTGAAGAGAAGTTAACTTGAACATCGGTGTATAACCATAGACAGTTTTTCATTGTATTACATTACAGCTGTTTTTCATCAAATGATATAGACGAGAACAAACACAGTGCTGCTAGTAGAAAATCATTAATTGACTGTTTATTGTTATCAATTATTATTATTATTATTATTATTATTATTATTATTATTATAGTAGTAGTAGTAGTAGTAGTAGTAGTAGTAGTAGTAGTAGTAGTAGTAGTATAATGCTACTCCCCCTGGGAAACATTCATAGTATCTGTCTCCATACTTTGAGATGAAAACAAAAGACTTTAGTTTTTGTTTGATAAACTAATAATAAACTAATAATTCCTGAACGTGTGACTCAGGGTAATTATTGGAGCACATTTCCTGACCCAGCACAGAGCCCCTCCTCTTAAATTGTCACTGAAGCTTGAAGTGGCCGTGCTGATTGTCTATTGTCATCTACTGTTAAAACTAGGTCACACAGCGGGGCAGCCTTTAAATTTATATTTATACATTTTAAATGACATTAATGCCACTAACCGGAGCGGTTTCATTTCTCTTCTGACCTGGAAGCATCTCAGGATGACTTCACAGTAAATACATTTGGACAAAAGCCAAAGTAACAGTCCGTAAAATCCTAAAAACAAGTGACCTCATTTCATTTGTTAACTCTCAGTTTAAAGCAGCACACAGTCAGAGACCTGAAACAGCAACAGGAAATAAAATGAGAGCAGCACCACAAACACATAAAAAGACAGACGGCACGAAGTTTAACCAGTGACTTTGCCTCAATACCAAACAGAAAATCCCTCTTTGATTTAGTACAGATTAATTACTGAATTACAGGAAAGAAAAATAGAATTAAATAGATTCCATGACCCCAAATTATTGATTCATAATCATAACAATAATTATAATAACAATAGTAGTAGTAGTAATAAACTTCTCAGATCAGACGATCAGTGTTACATTTAACCTGGTCACAAAGCCCAAACACTCACAGTGTTTATTTAATCCCATCATGAAAACATACTTAAGTGAAGATAGTTTTTTATCCACAGTTAATTAAAATAAAACAATGTCATCTTATCAGGAAGTGCAAATCCTCACTGTTTTAAGTGTGCTGTGGAAGTGTCATTGGTTATTTGATAGTCAAACATCTCCCTCTAGTGGCCATAAATAAACAATTCACATTTACACCGCTAATTCATCAGGACAGCTAAAGACTCAACACTGTTCTTTCCTTAGACTGTACAGAAAAATACTTCTTCTACTGCGTGTCTTTCATATTAAAAGCTCTTTGCGAATGAATGGCTGTAAGGCTTTAATGTGAAAATATCAGAGCAAGTTTGAACAACCTTACCAATATAAACACTGCAAATAAACATAAGCTACAAGAAAATATAGACTCAGTGTGTCTGATTTGTGCTTTTGTATTAATGTAGTTTAAAAAAAGGGTCAAAGTCAATATTTTACATCAGCTTTTAATGGGTATAATAACGTTTATGGTCTAATAGGCAGGACTTTGTTTTTCATTTCATATAAGTTGAAATGTGGGCTCAACATGTTTAAAATGATAAAGATCCACAGAAGCAAATCCTAGACTCCAGTTTTTCATCATTCAGTGCTGCAGTTTGTTTTTCACCTGGTGTTGCCAGCAGCAGAGTTCAGTTGGCGGGAACTGAATAATTCGATTTCCAGTTACATTAGACATGTGCAAACATGATCATCAGCTGCAAACATCCTTAAATTTTACCTCTAGGGAAGATCAAGTTAGCATGAATCTGAGAAACAATGAAGCTCTTCTCAACAAAATTAAAAAAAGTTTTTTTTTAGATTAGTTTTATTTAGTTTGTAGTTATGTTTTTTTGTCACCTTGTCAGGCTTAAGCTGGCGTTGTATTCACATTATTAAACTCTTGAGATCACAAACTCATGAGAAACGTTACTAAAATTAAACACTTCTTTCAAATTGTACAAATAAGGTGGACAACAAACTACAAATTGATTTTCAGTCAAATCTTCTCTGATGTCCGACTTTTACAACCAGACTTGATGTGACGCTGGCTGTCTCTTTATACCTGATATTAGGTCACCCTGACTCCTCCCTTAGTAACAATAAAACAGGCTTTGGCCTCTCGGGATTCCCGTGATGGTTTTAGTTTACTTTTCAGTCATTTTTTTCACTTCCCATGTGTTTACACACTCCTACAGTAAGTGTAACACACACAGATTCGAGGTCTGAACATCTGTCTCAGATGTGGGAAAAATATGACAACCAATAAAATTGTAAATGGGAGGGAACAGCAGTTGTCCTCAACTCACCAGTCTGTTAGCAGGTCAGCAATCACCCCGGCCTCAGCAAGCCAATCCTCCCTTGAGGCTGTGGTACACAGTAGGCCCAGCCTGCACAGACACACAAAATATCAGCTCATCAGCATTTTAATATATGCAGAGAGCAGCAAACTGTTCATCATACACATTTATAATCTAAGCCATCTTGAGTCTGGCCATATACCTGCACACAGAGACACAATGTCACAGCAGTGTTTACAGTGCAGAGACTGTTATCTGCCAACATCCCTCACCACACAGCCTTGTGCTGTTGGAGGCTTCTTGCTGTTAAAGGGGGATTTTATTGTCATTACTAAATGTTTGCTCACAGTATGAGAGGTGGGACTTTCTCTCTAACGGTTCAGTATAAAACACCTTGAAGGAATGTTGATTTGCTGATATTTGATTGATATTGATGAACATTAACTGAAATGAACACAGCTAACTTCCCCTCAGGGACTTCTGAGAAACTGACTCATCCATAAACCTGGATTTCAGTCATGTAAAGACTTGTTTTTCTTTACTTTGGAATTTATTTTCCAGCTGCAGCTCTCACAGCTGCTCCATCAGAGTTGAACAACAAAGGAAAACTAACACATTGTACGGTACTTTAGATGAACTTATCATCTTATAGTGAGAGATAAATCAGACTAATGTACAATGAATAATCTGCACTGAGACACTTTAAGATTGTTTAAGATTTGAGTCCAAGGCTGAAATCAAATAGTCAGAACATTCCCTGCTCCGTCTTTTCCTCACTCGGTCGACGTCCATGGAAAACACGATGAGTTGAAGGAAAAGTTCCCACAGTGTTCCTTCATACAGGTCATGTAAACATGTATGAATATCTAACACATTATTACCAGGGTTAAAAATACACAGTGATATTTCTCATCCACTTGATCCTTTAAAATATGTTAGTCTTTTTATCTTTCCAAAGCCAACATTTCAAAGTGCGTCACAGAGGAAAGAACTTAATGTGAAGAAGGTTTTAATAAATAGAGTAACATGTGTACAGGTTTCCGTCTGGACAACGAGTGAGGAGGGGCTTTCACCCACCACACCACCTATGAACCTGTCAAAGGCTGAACGTTTAACAAGTGGTGCAGATCCAGGTAAGAAAGCAACACTGAATTGAACAGTTGAAAAGAAAAAACACGATAAAAAATATTTAAGAACACTGGATGAAAACACAGACAATGGCTGCTGTGGGAAATTTAGTTTAACACTCAGTTTCACTTCAGTCTTTGTGCTTCACTTTCAGATTTTAAGGCTTACTTGTGGTTCCTAAAGTATTTAAAAGCTTAGTGGGACAGTGTCACCAAATGGTACCTCTGATTGTTGGTGTTTTCTCTGCATTATTGTAATGTCCTTACTTTGCTTTATAAAGAACTTTGAGCCAACTGTTTGATTTGATGCTACATAAATAAAACTGAATTGAACTCAATTGAGTGACGGCCCAAAGACTGCACAAAAACAGTGGCACGGTCTGATGTACCACCAACTACACATGCGTCCATGCAGGCAGCATCCTTCAAGTTGATTTCAAAGAAGTATAAAGTATAATTTATGGTCAACAAATGTGTAAAATAGTAAATAATCTGATTCTTGTAAAGTGTGTTTCTGCTCTCCTGCAGCACTCAAAGCACTTTATGCATTCATACAAGCACTTTTTTCTATAACAAGTGCTTTCTGTCTAATATTCATAAATTCATACTCCAGTGGATGCATCAGAGAGCAACTTGGTGTTAATATCTTGCCCAAAGATGTTTGACATGCAGACTGAGGTTCAGCCATCAACCTTCCAATCAGTCGGTGACCTGCTCTACCTCCTGAGCTACAGCCACCCCAAATGTACATCCTCACGCTTGTTTCCATTTGGACAGCAAGCAAAGGGGAGGGGCTGTTCTCTCCCACTGGATACTTGCTTCCTCACAGTCCTACAAAATACTGTCTCCTAACTTTGTGGAAGTAAATGCTGTATATGTCTGAGGGATGCTGGAATGGGGACAGTACCAGGATATGTGACCACTGTAGCCACTGTCTGTGTTTTAGCGTAAGAGTGGATTTCACTGTT